CAGGAACTTTTGAACTTCACTTTGAAGAGCGTCTAAGAGTGAGTGTCTGTATTTCTAGTAACCAGACAAAACATATTGACAATGAAAGGAATGTAATCAACCAGTTTGGCAGTTTTTTCAGTAACACACGATACTGAACTTGTAGTACTTCACGGTGTCCTTTTGAAATAGTATTCAGGCTTAGCCTTCTATCCCGAAACGCTAGACGCAGTAATGAAGCCTGTTCAAAACCAACAGTGTCTTCGAATCTGGGAACATTGTTCTCTTTCAAAATTAGTCCTAACAGGGCAAGTCCAGGCGTGGAGACATACTTTTGCTGAGTAAGACCCTCTCTCGGATTCTCGAATTTCTTTTTCAGTCCGGTCCCTTAACACTTCTTAACCCAGCCATATTTACCCACCCATTATCTTATAAAGCTTTCCCGAAATAGGCTGTCGAGCGGAGGGGGAGAAGTGACAGTGGTTAGACATCTTCCTTCATATATCAGAAATAGTAAGTTTGTGGCGTCGCCAAACAGCGTGTAAAATCAAGAAGAATCACCAGAAAAATGTTTCGTAGGCCTACCCCCTTTCCTCCAACGACCAACTGCATCCCCCCCAATCCGCCCCGTTGGGGATCTCAACGTACGACGTGCCCTGCGTCCAGTATACTCAATGAACGACGTCATTTTACATATTTCTCATGACACGTCAAGTATCACGAAATCGCGGATACGTAATACATCCACTTCACTCAATTTTACGACTTTTTTTCGTATTGGTTGGCATTTCGGGCCGAAAGACGAGGAAAGACTTCTGCTTAGACCTCGAGAACTCCTGGTACATAACTTGTGAGAGTAGCTTATTCCGTATAGGACGCGTACAGGGCCGCAAGAGAGGCGTTGCAAAGAGTATTGAGAAAAGGAGGTCCGCTGTGCAGAACCAGATTTCTTGAGTCAAATGATTTTTCAGCTCACACCGGAGCTTCTTCTCTTCTTCTATTTTAATGACGAGACACAGAATGCTATTCCGACGTCGTGACATATCCTCGTTTTGACGCGACACTAAAGGCAGTGGGCACGACTGCTGGAGGCGCACGGTTGTTGCCAGCTTCGCTTTGGGCACGGTTTGGCCTAAGGCCATCTCTGAACCCATTGCCTGTAACATGAACGTAATGGACCGCAGACTTATAGTAAGGATAAAGGATAAAGTCTTCGCCGTTGATCAATCCCTTTGTGGGATGCGGCACGCATTCTACTTCCATTCAGAATTGCGGTGGCCAGCCGATGTACAAGTCAGTGTTTTTATCCTCCCAGACGAATCTGGTACCAATTCCCGGAGGGTAGAAGGCTTGGTTGGCCTGGGGCGGGAGTCGGTAAGCGCGCCACTTGTCACTACACCACCTCCGCCTAATAAACTATAGCCATTCCTTGCATTGATTGGCTTGTTGAAGTTCTTGCTCCGATTGCTTACCTGTTGGTTCAATCCGGTGAAGTAAGGCCAACCATGACTCATAGGTTGGCTGTTAACGCTGGTACTGGTATTTCACGATATGAAATCGACTTGATCCACAGTTCATATCAGAGGGCGACAAGGGGCTTCGCGACAATGGCTGCATATACCCGGCCGATTCTCTTCTCTGATATCCAAGTTCCTGCTCCTCTTTCGTCTGAGCCTGCGCCCGCTATCGTAGCTAGGTACCTCGTTGTTCTTAGATTTGGGCTTAATGTTCCGTAAGTCCCGCTACTTCACTGGAGATGAAAAGGGCTGTTTTGGCACTGAGAACGCGAGTTGTGCGTCTTCAAGGTCGCTTCTCCATAGTCTTAGTTTATGGGAGAATATCCCTTTCATGTATATTTCTCATTGCTACACTTCCCCACGGAAGAGCAAGCGGAGTCATGGTGACGAGCAAATTTGTAGCTACATACAGTACCCTCAACTCCCATTACAATCCCTTTTGAACATACAAATCAAATAATAAAATAGTCAACTTTCACTGAACTTCACCTAACTGCTCACGCATTCGTAATCCTGATTCCCCACAAAATTCTCTCACCTAGGCGAGAACCCTACTGTTTTCCGTGGGCCTGACGTGCTTCTCTTTCAAATCCCACCCTTCACAATGAGCTATGTGCGACACACTCTCCCACCAAGTCAACTGTGATCCGCTCAGTGAGAAACCCTAAACGCAGCGTGAGCACCGAGAACTCCTGGTACATAACTTGTGAGAGTAGCTTACTCCGTACAGAACGCGTAGAGGGCCGCAAGATAGGCGTTGCAAAAAGTATTACGTGCACGGTATTCGCACCACCACATAACTAGTTCAGTCTGGAAATGCAGCAGCGTGCCAAGAAAACCAATTAGGGAAGACCGCTGGTTTTGCACGTTACCGCGACTGCGAACTCGTGCACTGCAGGCCAGAGAAGTAAACACTGTTTTGGGTTTCACATGTACTAACGCACCGTTAT